TTATATATATATATATATATATATATATATATCACAATTAAATGTTAATGCAGGGTAGAATGTGGGTTTGGAAACAGATTTCTATAAATTGCATTCAGACGTCTCATTATGTCTGTAGCCAATCACACAAGCCTTCTGTGTCTACTAGTCAATTATATGCCAGATTTCATTATCCCATTGCAAGTCACATGACTGATGAGGCCCGATGAGCCATGTCTATATGTACATGTCTTGTTCAAGTTCATGAGTTTGATGTGTGTGTTTCACTGCAGACGTCACACTCAATAACACAGCCAGCTGTAGTTCAGGGGTGTGTGATTTCTGGTTAAAGGAGTTTTTCAGTTTTGCCGTCAGTTAGTTGTTAATGTTACTAATCATTTAAGGTTAGGCCACAATCAGTGCGTTCTTACAAGAGAAATGAGGTACTTGTAAAGATGGAGTATCTACATTGTGGTTTAAGGAACTGAACTACTTCAGTATGTGTGTCAGTAGACTCTCCTTCTGTTCTCCAGGTGCACTAGCTGAGTTTTTGGACCCCCAGCAGCAGGTTGTGGTTGGTGTTGGAAGAACAGCTCGACTGCACTGCCGTTTCAGCAGCTCTGGGCCTGTGGCTTCCTGCTGGATTCATGACCGTGAAAAGGTCTGAGCTGTTTGTGAAGAGGAACATGTATTTAATTCATGTGATTCTCCACACCTGTGGTTCCTCTGGTTGGACACCTGTGTGAACTTAAGAACTGACTTCATGAATCCACTGCAACACACTTGTTTGTTTGAAACTCATTGAGTAGAGATCAACAGAATTGGGAAAAAAAGCTTGTTTGATATTTTCAGTGTGCATGTTTCTCATTAGGTTGTGTTAGAAGGGCCGCGAGTGTGTGTGACGAACACCTGCAGTAGCAGCACCCTGGTTCTCTCTGATGTTCTTCCTGTAGATGTGGGAAGTTATTCTCTTTTTGTTTGTAACCGAGGAGGCACTGCTCACTGGACCATAAGCCTCCGAGTCATTGGTGAGAACTTTCTAATCTAGCTTGCTTTAGTCCTTAACCTGTTCTTTAGTGTGTAGTCCGTATATATCTGTGGTGATGGCATAACTGCCAGTAATCCGATTGCCTTTTTGTTCTCATTTGTGGTATTTTAGTATTTATATACCATTTTAATATTTATTAATTAATTATATTTTCAGTTTTTTATTTTAGTTTTAGAAATTTGACGTCCTCATCATTTTTTCTTTTTTTTATTCATTTTATTTCGATTTAGCTTTATTCTTTTGAATTGCCATTTTTCCATTTTCAGTTTTTAATTCTAGGTCAAGGTGAAGTAATTATGTACACTTTTTTTAATAATGGTGAAATTTGTATTTTTTTTTATTAGCTTTTATAAATCGTGTTTTAGTTTTAGAAATGTGGTGTGCATTCCCTTTTTAAAAATTTCTGTTTAGCTCTACTTTTGGGTTCTTTAACAAGATTTTTTTTTTTTTTTGCATTTTCAGTGTATTTTAAGTTACAGACATTGTGCTCGTTATCATATTATATATTTTTTAATAATATCTGCATGGCTTTAATTTATAGTTTTATATTAACTGGAAATATAAAGAGTAATTTTTACATTTTAGAAGTATGAACATTTGTCTGTTTTTTATTTATATATATATATATCTCTGTTTTTCAACTGTCATTTTTTCCCCTATGTTTTGAATTAACACTATTTATTTATTTATTTATTTATTTTAGTTCCCAATAACCTTGCTTCTCATTCACTTTTTGTTTCTCCCCAGATCGTCCAGACCCTCCAGCCTCGTGTCCGTTTGTGTCCCAGCTGACCCCCACGTCTCTGGTTCTGTCCTGGTCTGGGCCATGCTATAACGCAGCGGGAGTCAGTGATCCCAGCAAGGAGTCAGACTGCATTAAGATGAACACTGCAGGTAGACAGACGCCAACTGTTAAACCAATTAAATGCATGCAAAATCCATATGCATGTTATAAAATATATAAATATTATTCATGTTTTTAATATAAAGTTTATATATATATATATATATATATAGTTTTTTTTATAATGTGTAAAAAAAATACTTTTATATATTACTTTTATTTAGGCAGTATTAAGTATATACAGTGCAGTAAGGATGCTTGTGCTTCTTTTTGGAGTTAGTGATGCTCAAACAAGAGATTAAAGCAAGATTAATGCGTTACAGGTGAACCACAATGGGAAGTGACCTCATATGTGGAGGTTGTGCCTGACACCACACACAAAGCCAGGGATCATTATCACGTCCATGAAAAACTAGGAGTGTGGGTATTAGTCTATTCATAAAATCAGGTCTAAAACTGATATTTATCTTAAATGGTCATCTTCTACCTCCGCAGGGGGAAGTTTGGGGAGGTGTACAGGATGAGCCATAAGCAGACGGGTTGGGTGTGTGCTGGGAAATTCTACCGGGCCCGTGTCTCCAGAGAGAAAACAGCAGCGCGTCAAGAAATCAAACTGATGAAACAATTACACCACCCCAAGCTGGTGCAGTGTCTCGCAGCCTACGACACCCCGTCCGAGATCGTCATGATTCTGGAGTAGTGAGTTGAAAATCCTAGACGGATATAATCTATTTTTTATTTATTTTTTTTCAAGTGACACGAGATGGCTTTTTCAAATATACACACACTATATATCTAACCATTTTAAAGTGTTCTATGGAACTGTTATGCATGAACTTCTCATCCATTAACATTCAATTTAATGTTAAGGGAAATATCAGATTAAGTTTTTAAAATATTTAAAAATGCATTTAATTTAATGGCTAAAATGCTCATTTGATGAACGGTTTCAATTTTATAATTTAAATGTAAAATTTCGAGGTGGTCTAACTAAGTTTTTACCTACCAGAAATGTTTGAAAACTTTTTTTTTTTGATCGCTAAAATGTTACTTTAAGCTTTTAAATCATAACTTGTGTACAAATGAAGCCACTGTGCATTTCTAACCCCTAATTGTTCTGCCTTAAAGTATTGCAGGTGGTGAGTTGTTTGAACGGATAGTAGATGAGAATTTCGAGCACACAGAACCCAACAGTGTGAACTACATGCGTCAGATCCTGGAAGGAATCCAGTACATTCATAGCAAACGCATTGTTCACCTCGACCTGAAACCAGAGAACATTGTCTGTGTGAACAGCGCTGGGACGCTCATCAAGATCATTGACTTTGGATTGGCCAGCAAACTGGGTGAGTGATTTCTTTTCTTTTTTTTTTTCTCCCCAGAGCGAGTCAAACAATTGAGTCGAAGTACCAAAACAGGGTATCCGCAGGATTTTTATGCTCAAATTTAAGACTTTAAGACCTGCACAAATAAATTGAATACCATATGAGCGGTATTATACCACCTGACTTTGAAACTTGCAGCGCTCATGTTTATTTAACTTTCTGTCCCCAAATTTAAAACCTCTTTGAAATTTTATATATAAGACTTTCTTGTACCATTTAAGACTTTTTACCCCTGATTTCACAGTTAAGGCTCAAGTCTATCAGACAAAAATGCGTGTCTGGGCTGTTTTAACTGAAAGAAACTTGCACGGACATATCTTAAAATGTCAGTGCCATTGGTTTGTTTCAAGATGCACACCAGTAATTTTTTTTTTTCCCAAGACGCGTTTATAAATGATACTTGAATGTCCTAATTGAACTATGGCCTAATCCTGGATTAACCTAAGTCCTGTCTGTGAAACTAGGCCTTTATGGCCTTACATTTGAAACTAAATTGAAGACTTTGGACCCACAGAAACCCTGCAAAAACATAAATAAAATTGTAAAAAAATCCCCAATTTTGTAATTCCGCATAGAAACTTTATTTCTTATATTCACATTTTAATAAATCGAGATGCACTGCAGTACATTCATCCCCGTCTGGGTTCAGTGTGTGTGTGTTATGTTGGGTTGTGGTTGGGGAAGAGCCACATGAGATGTCCCTTTGAGCATTCCCACTGAATCCGAATCAGACTCCCGGATGTTAACGTTTTAAATTCCAGAACCGGCTCTCCACACTGATGGCAGGTCCTGAACAGTCCTGTCAAACTGGATTTGTTGACCACCCATTTTCTTTCCTTCTGATCTGCTATTCCTCTTGTCAGTGAAATGGGATCAGATGCTGTATCAGACAAAGATCTCATGGCATTTAAACGTTCCTCCAATCGCAGGGCAGTCTGTGTAAGTTCATCCTACAAGACGGAAAATCAGTGAGCAGTTTGGACTCATTTGAGTGAATTGCTGATTCTAAAACTTTTTGATCTAAAGGTTTATTTAATGCTTAAATATTTTCATAGACAAATTACCGTGGTGTGCATTTCTTTGCAAAACTAACATTTTAATAGAATTTGTTTTTTTAGTGAATAGTGAAGGAAAAGCAGCTAACAAGTGTCCAGCATACATTCATTCCTTAGTAGGCGTTTTTTCTAAACTTTCCACTCAACTGTCCATTTTTACCAACCTTTCTTTTCTCCCAGAGCACTGTATGATCTTCCTCTGTAGTTGTGCTTGAAGATGAACTCTGCTCCATCATACAATTTTGTTCCTTGTTGTAACCCATCCTGACATCTGGGTCCGATCCATCCTCTAGTAGTCGTTCAGGCTGTGCTTGTTTATCCTACATGGCAGAAAATGGTGACGCATGCAAGTTTCATGCAGTTGTGGTCGCCACAACTTTATTTAATATGAATTTCCAATGATGAGCAGTCAGATATGTTGTATGTTGATCACTTCAAAATTTGTATGTGGCTCATCCAATTAGTCTGTTGATTTTTAGTTTTCAATCAAGTGTGCATTAAAAACGGACTAGATTTACAAATCTTTTAGTTCACATTCCAATTCCAAATGTGAAAATCAAATATGAAGTACCTTTTGGTTTTGTATTTTTAAATCGCAAGATTTTCCAAATATAGGCATGATTACATTTGTTGAATTTGCCAAAACATGGAAATAATTTTTACAATTAGTTTATAAACTCTAAAACCCTGTACATGTATGGCTGAAAATAACTACAAAGTTGGAATTGAGTGTCAAATAGTTGGAGCCAAATTGTTTGCGGGAATAAATTAAATTTTGCAATAAATTAAGTGCTGCATTGCAAGCCAATGGTCACAAAACTAGCATATGTGAGCACTTACCGGCTGATATAACCATAGGGGAGGGACGTCGTAGCAGATCCCAAGGACCTCAACGTTTGTGGACTGGAGATCTGGACTAGGCTGAGGTGAATCGCTCCGAGTCTGCTATGACAATTAATGTTTGAGATTGTTGTATCAGATGCAGTGTAAACCAAATGCATATAAGATTTAACAGTGTGACGCGAGTTAGTTAACTACAGCAAATAACCATTAAAGAGTGTGGCATAGGTTGACTGACCCAACAAACAGTCCATTGTGCTAGTGCAATATTTTATAATATATATATATATATATATATATATAAATAAAATATTTATTTATTTTATGGCAATAAGTAAGGATACTTGACACTTTTTCCCCAGTCATCTCAATAGCAAAGTGCCCCAATTTACCTGAATTTACCGTTACATACCTCAGATTTCAGTGCAGATGTTGATTTCTGCCGTTTTCCTCTCTTTCTCGGAGATTCACTGGAATTGTCTTGTGAAAGATGTTCACCACACACCCTTAATAAACGAAAATGAGAAAACATGAAAATATGAACTCTGAACTACACCTTCCCGATCCACACAATATATTTCTGTAAAAAATATTTTTCCCATTTCTAAATGGTTACTTGTGTACGTTTTACAGAACTTTTTTTTTCTACTTGTATATTTAACTTTTTTTTTTAATTTTTTTTTTTTACTGAATTTAGTTGCTTTTTCTTTTTAGTTAATTGTGAAATGTCCTTGGCAGTTTCTTGGTGAAAACTGTTTCTACTTTTTTTTTTTTTTCTTTTTTTTTTACTGATACTTTTTCAGGATTCTTTGATTCATAGAATGTTCAAAAGAACAGCATTTACTTTTTGGATTTTTTTTTTTTTTTTTTTTTACGTTAGCTGGCGCCATACTGCTTGATGTGTTACCATGATTACCAAAAGGTCATACGAAACTGGTAACATTTGCTAGATATCAACATAGTCCTTGGTATCCATCCCGCAACTAACATATCGAACCTGTCCAGCAAGAAAGAAGCCAGCTCTGGGTCACTCTTAAATCCCTCGAGATCTCGGAGCTGTCGCCACCGCTCGAACGCTCTGCCGATATTGATTCTAGTTTTGCCGTGAACTCTATTGCTTTCCCGTTTCGCTAGCAGGTTCTGTGCGGTCCGAGGCGAAGGTTTCAGTTTAGAGCGATCCATAATCCGCGATGACTAGCTGACTGTTTCTAAAATTACCTTCATTTATTGTAACCGCTAATCTCCAACACAACCATTCGCGCCAGACTTTGTGTTGCCGGACGTGACGTAAACGCGCGGTTTCCTTCCAAATCCGAGCCGCCACACTTAAACAAACCCCCATTCACTACAGCAAGCCTATGTTGTTTTAGTCAGTAAGTATATTTTAATGTACTCGCTTAGTAATTAAGCTCACTTCTATCAAAACGCAATCATTTAATCGAGTAGCTTTAAAGAGTTTTCAATAGTTCTCTCGCTCTTTGTGCTTTAAGCACGAATACCAGCACTGCCATCTGTCGACGTGGATCAGCATGACTGTCTCTTAGTAGATCATGGTCTGTTGGACAATTAATTCCCTAACTTTTTTTTTTAATTGCAGAAATATAATCCAATACAAATACAGAACATAGAACATATGGGGGAATTAACAAATTACAATTCACTTAAACCGTTCTATAATACGAGATGTCTTCAGAGGTTGTTTTTTTTTTCATTTGAGGAGACTTTTTGGAGTGGTGACAATGTAGAACAGAAGCAAATATTTTGCAGCTAGTTTTAAATGTAAGGTATCTAGCCTTGTGGATATGGTATTTACCCATCATCATTCAAGTCAAGTTTAAAACATCATCTAGCTCCTTATTGTCAGAAATATTAGAATGCAAAGGAACCTTACTGCTGGAAATACTACAGAGCTGATCATCGAAGCCAGAATTGTGTAGAATAGTAACAGAAATGGAACAAATGTGAAATGGATTCTTCCTCTTGGCAGAAAGAGCAGAGTGGAGAAATATTATGGTTAAAGTGACTTTGATACTTATTACAAGAATAATGATGAATGATTTTAAAATTTATTTTATTAAACAAATTTATTTGGCATAGTCCATACCTTAAATTAATATTTGGGTAAAGTGCAGACCATTTTGTAACAAATTTGTTTAATAACAAAATTGTTGCATTTGAATTCCCTTATCCGTCCAACAGAAAAGCAGCAACTTGTGCATCATTACTCAGGGTTTCTCCGTCATAATCTTTCCACCTTGTGAATGTCGTACCGATTTTCTTTTTTTTTTTGTGTGTTATTCAGTCTTTGTGTTCTGACTATTCATAATTTGTTATTCATAACTTATTGATTCTCCCTAATTCCTGTTTTCCATCTTTTAAATGTTCCTTTCTAAAATAGCCTACCGCTTGTACACATTCAGAAAGTCTTCCAGTTTTGTGGACATTAATCAGATGGCTGTAATTACACAGAAAATTGAGACGACACAGCATTTTGACCACTGGATTAACAAAAATCATTTCAATTATATGAAGCGTTTTCTCCGCATTTGCAGTTCCTTTACAAACCTTTAATGCAATCTTTATTGCATTTTTTTTCTTTGCATTTTTATATCAATATGGTACAAGATTTTACTATTTAAATCAATGTGATAAACTAGTTAGGTTAAAAGTAATCTAAAAGTAATCAAAAAATCTTTTTATTATCTAAAATGTGTAATGTAACGGATTACGTTAATAACTACAATTTTTGTCATGTAATTTGGAGTCAGTAACGTAATGGACTACAATGTGTAATTAATCTACCCAGCTCTGCGTGTACATAATTTAGTTCTTTACCTGTCCAGCAGATAACAAGCAACCTCCATGTCATTCTTCATGCCTTTCTCCACCTTCAGCGCTTTCCATCTGGAATATTCCTCGCCGATGTTTACTCTGTTTTTCTGCCTCAGTCTGTCTCTCTCCCGCTTCACGTCTGTCCTCTTTCGCTTCTTGGATAGAGCTTGTATTGTCTCAGCGGTTGATGCATAACAGTGATCCATTTCTTCCTCCGAAACTTCTGAATTGAAGTCCTGGCTGATCAGTGATAGACCTCTCACAGTCTCCTAAAACAACCCGTCTTACGGTTTAATATGGTGTAAATTACACTACTTTATAATGCATTGGCCTATACATCAAGTAATTGTAAAGTAAGTTTTAAAAATAAATACAAATGTATGCATCCTTAACTCTAACCCCCTCAAAGATCCCCCAAGCTGTTTCCATGCATACCTCTGCTTTTTGTAAACAAGTCACAGGCACAGCTGTATTTGTAAGATATCGACGTGCCTTTCCCTCATCTGCTCTGAAATCGTCTCGTGAAAATTTTCACTGCACAACTTCATGTGCTTTAAGTATCGAATAGTTAAAGTAATATCCCGATGAACAGAAGCCAAAGCTTCAGTCGCTCAGGACCGTTCACTGGAAATCTGTGAAAAGTCACCCTGTCACCTGTAAGGCTCGCTAATGCACTCTTACATACTCGCAGGTTTTTTTTCTTGAAGTTCTTGGATCCTGGAAATGTACACTTGTGCATTTTTTTTAAAAAACCCACCAGGACCAAAGTCAAAATGTAGAAAGAAAAACGCACGAAACTTGCATACAGCATCCCTGATCCTCTGCTGTAAACAGCGCAGCGCTTCCAGGATCATCATCTTTCTTGTTTAGTGGCAACTAACATTTTAAGGTGCATTTCCGCCACCTACTGTGCTGGAGTGTGGGCCAGCGTTTTTTATTTAATTTTTAATCGCGTCTCCCTTAGGGAAAGGGATTTTGACCAGTTTTGCAGCGTCAGCCAATGAGCAAGAGGCGTTAGATCGTGATCTCACGGGTTTTTTTTTTTGTTAGTCCACAAAAGTTATTAAATTGGAAAAAAAAAAAGCAATATTCTCTGCTCTCAAACGCTGGGGGCGTGTCTGCTGTCGGCGCTGAAACCACGCCCACTCGCCGTAGAATTCAACCAATCGTCATCTGATTGGTTGTTCTACAGAATTTCTGGGAGACGTGTGTCGCGTTCTTCAACGTTCCGACTTGAAACAAAGATGCCGTGACGCCAAACCCCCTCATGTTCCGTACAACTGGGGTATTATCGAACTATCTAAATTATTATAACGAGTGCTAATTTAGCAAAAGGCAAGTAAAACTGTTAAGAGTCAAATTTTACAAGCATACATACCTCCTTTGACGGGACAGAAAAATCCTCGGGATTTGGTACCGCATTACTCAACAAACGCAAACTGCGTTGATGAGCAAGGCCAAAGTCCACCATTCTCCAGTTCTCGTAGCTCTCCCGAGAAAAATGCTTGTTACACACAAACATATTCGAGGTGTCGGTAGTTGACGGCCAACCAACCGCCCGCAGCCAGAGTCTAGCCCTGGCGGCATCGGGGGGAAAGCTGTGCAACGCACCCGAACTTTTACACCACCGAAACAAACACTTGCGACCCATACTATAAACTCCTAACTACTGCGCGGTCTCGGTGTTGCCAACTATTTGCAATGGAAAGTAGCTAAACCCTGCTTGAAACAAGTATAGGTCTCTGCAGGAAAGTAATGGGAGTTCTTCTTCTGGTGTTAATGGCGGTTGGCAAACCAACTTAAATGGTAATTTCCCGCCACCTACTGGATAGGAGTGTGGAGCGCATAATGATTGGAAGTTTGAGAACTATAGCCAAAAAAAACATATTTAAAAAAATTATTATTCCGCTTTATTTACGACAACTGTATCCTAAACTCTATTTATCAGTCTTGTTTCTTTTAAGAAAATAATTCATGAAATATTCTTGATTTGCTTTGGGCCATTTCCTAACAGAACCTGAAGTGACAAATTATTTTTTCCGAACTATCCTAAAGCTCGAATTAGTTAATCTTGCTCCTTCATATGCATCACACTCTATAAGTATATTTTCTACTGATTCTGCATGACCACATTTGTCACAATTTCCAGTTTCATGCTTCCCCATTCTATACAGACACTGATTTAACAATGTCCAATACGCATTCTTGACATTAAAACGTCTTTCCTGTTGCCAAACTTTCTTTCTTGACCTACTTTCTCTTGAATATGATGAAAGTGTCTACCTTTTGTTCCACTATCCCACTCCTTCTGCCATTTCTTTCTAATTTAGTAATGGGAGTTACCAGATCGGGGCGTTTTTAGACCATGTTTCCTGATTGGCTGATGTCATAGTGACGGTAGGTTTAGGGGTGGGGTTAAGGGGGATCATTTTGATTGCATGATTGAGAAACACCCTGCAGTTTGAAAACACCCACAAATTCAGAAACGCCCACTTTTGCTCTGCAGAGACCTCAATCTCTCTTGAAAAGTACCTAAATGACGTCATGCGGCATTAAAGGGGTCATATGATGCGTTTTCAATTTTTCCTTTCTCTTTGGAGTGTTACAAGCTCTTGGTGCATAAAGAAGATCTGTAAAGTTGCAAAGACTAAAGTGTCAAATCCAAAGAGATATTCTTTATAAAAGTTAAGAGTCAGCCACACCTACCCAAAATGGCTTGTTCTAACACGCCCCCACATATCTACATCATTATGTGGGAAGATTTGCATAACGCCGCCCAAATGTTCACGCAAAGAAAGAAGGCGTAACTTTTATTCTGTGAATGCGCTGTGTGATTCGTTGTGAAAGCGAAACTTTGAGGAATTCGGCCAATCACAACGCACTGGATAGCTGGCCAATCACAGCACACCTCGCTTTTTCAGACCGATGAGCTTTGTAAAAATCGACGTGTTTCAGAAGGTGGGGATTAGAGGAGAAACAATAATGTACAGTATGTGGAAAATAATGTGTTTTTTTTTAACCTTAAACCGCATAAACACATTTCATTAAACCAAATACACAAAATAATGTTCTTTTTAGCAACATCATATGACCCCTTTAACATATTGATGACGTCATCACGTCTTATTTGCGTAATTGCATTCTGCGTAATGTCGGCACTTCAAAGCTGTTGAGCTGTTTTTTTTCCCTTTTAGAGTCGCTAAAGTTTGTCCAAAAAGTCGCTAGATTTGTTGCTAGTCGCTTTTTGAAAAAATAAAAAAAGCCACTAAAGGAGTCACGTGCTGTCATGAATAATTAAGAGACAGTGTCTTCTCATAGGATAAGAAAACTCGGTCTCATGAATAATTGAGACACCTATGTTAACTTGTGACGTCGCCACGATTTTATACCCGGAAGACAAAAATGGCGGAGAAAAGCTCAATTACCCAGTTTTTTCCTACAGTTAAATCTTACAGATGCCAACGTTGCTTTAATGATGTCAGCACACATAAATCTGTTAAGATCTCAGAAAATGTAGTTTAGGGTTTCATGACCCTTTAAAATGCGTCCGAAAGTTTTCCACACAGTTCCGTTATTGTGGGGACATTTCCACGCCCCAAAACATGACGCAGCACAAAACGAAATGTGATTGGTTGCTTTACCTGTCAGTCATGTGGCCTATTGGGCGGTCCTTGGCCATTCAAAACGGTCAAGGTCCCCAGACCTTATGCCGTCAGTCTGAAGCTCTGGCTACGCGACACTACTATAATTATAACATAAGCACACAATGCAACTTACACTAATTGGTGGGCACGTACTGCCGACGATGGCACCAGATGTCGGCGGGACGGGAGGATGAAGGCCGGGGCGGGAGATAGTCGGCTCGGCCCCGTTCACCAGTAACAGCGGATTATCAGTGAATCCCAATTCTCTCCGATGAAAGTTTATAAAACTATCCGGTGTAAAATGTTCACTGCAAAGGCGGGTGTTGGTGGTGATCCTCAGCTCTCCATCAAGGTGCCTCTTTACAAACTTAATCCACCTCTTCTTGATATCATCGTTTTTAGGAAATTTAAATAAGGAGACCGAGCTATTTTGTAAATGATCGCAACCTGGTAATACGCATTTACGTGACGCAGGCATAGCTAGCTGGCAAACTAGGCTGTAGTAACTAAGTGTTAGGGGAGGGGCCATGCTCAGTGGCTCCAGTGTGTCATCGAGACATGATTTCAGCCCCGCCCATAAACAAATCCTGAACACAAAAATGGTGCAAAACCGTTTAATGGTCTGTTTAACTCCACAGTTCAGTACTATGTAGTTCACAGACTTTGCAACATGTTTTCAGCAATACATTTCTAACATTTATGTGTTTAGAAATTGTGCATGGTTTTTGTACTGAAACTTAAGAGGATTATCACGTCTTGGAATTAAACTGTTAATGTCAAAAACTTCATATATAAAATACAAAATTACCTTTTTATACAGATGACTATTTCAATGCATGTTATGTATATATGAAATATATAACATTTTATATAATAAAGTATATAAAATATTTATTTATTTATTCAGAGGCCGGGAAACATCTGATGGTGTTACATGGGACTCCAGAGTTTGTGGCCCCAGAGGTAGTCAATTATGAGCCTGTAGATCTGGCCACTGACATGTGGAGCATTGGCGTCATCTGCTACATCCTGTAAGGGCTTAGAATGAAGCAGTTTATGGCCTCCACCTCCATTTCGATTTACTAATATGTGCACTTTCAATTTTCTTTTCCACCATTTCCCAGACTGAGTGGCGAGTCTCCATTCCAGGGAAACAGCGATGCCGAAACCTTAGCTCTGGTTACTGCAGCGCAATGGGAGTTTAACCCTGAGAGTTTTGATGGCATCACTGATGAGGCCAAAGATTTCATCAGTGGCCTATTGAGGGAGGATAAGAGGTGAATGAAGAAATGTGAATCAAGAAATTAGCATGGTCACATCATGCATGTTTTATTAAACTTTATTCAACAACAGTCATGCAAAATGGTTATGGCAAAAGTTATTCAAGTCTCACATTCTATTGTTGTATGCAGGTTTTTTTTTTTTTTTTTTAATTCAATTTTTACACTCCTAGAACAAGACTATCATGTGAGAAAGCATTAGCTCATCCCTGGATAGCTTTATTTGATGACTCAAACTCCAGATCAACCAAATCCCTTAACAAAGACAAGATGAGAAGGTTCCTGGCCCGACAGAAATGGAAGGTATGAAATTTAAGAAGTTACTTACTTGCAGCCGTTTTAGAATCGAGATCTCCGATGGTTTTTTTTTTTTTTTTTTGTGTTTTTCAGGCGGTCATAAATATTACTTTTTTCTTTTAAAACTGCAAATCATGCACATCTGTTCTGTCTCGCAGAAAACCGGAAAAGCCCTGCTTGCTCTGAAAAGGATGGTTCACTGCAGCAAATCTGATGCACTGCATTCTCCCTCCATTTCTGTAGATGGTAAGACACATGAGAATCTGTTTGTCCAAGTAATGCAGTGTTTAGAAAGCCGTTACACATTACTTTTGCAATTCTGTTGGTTTGCCCTCTTATGATGTCCCTGCGATTTCAGCGAATGCTCTGGGGAAAGAAGCCGAACAAGCTGTGGCATCTCTGGAAAAACAGTTGTGGAGTGAACCACGCTTCCATCGAGCCCTGCATGACCTCACTGAGAGCTGCGGAGCCACGGTGCACCTGGCCTGTACAATACAAGGTACAGTACTGCTTAGTGTTTGGCAAAAAAGTATTTTTCATGTTTTTGAAAATAGGTGATACCAGACACTTTTGCAAACCAGCAGAAATGAAAACGCATGGCTAGTGTGATTTTGATTTGTTTAAAATTTAAAAAACAAGACCGTGTAGGGTTTTTATTGGACCATAATTCTCTGAAATGACTTCTGTTTGCAGGATATCCTGACCCTGAAGTGGTTTGGCTGTTTGATGAAGCGCCGCTGGAGAAGACCAGACGCGTTCAGATGAATTATGATAAGAACGGCATTTGCACACTCACCCTTGCTCAAGTACAACCAGGGGATTCTGGGATTTACAAATGCTGTGCGTCCAACAGCCTGGGGCAGGCGCGGTGTTCTGCCAGACTCACCGTGCAACTCTAGAACATCAAATCTATGATAAGTGTAAAGAAAATGGCAGATTTCTAATGCGAAACGGAATATTTGGAACAGTGTGCAAAAATGATTGAAACAAAAGTGCTTTCAAACTATCCACGTTTTACGTCACTCGAAGCTGTTGTAATTCACAATTTCTGAATTGTTCTATTGTTGATTTAAGTCACGATTTACTCCACAATCTTAATGTTAGTTTCAAGTTTAATTTCTATAATTTTCCCTGGTGTGAAACATTTTAGCCATTAATTTTGTTTGAGCATTGTGTTTTTCTACAGAACCTGGGCATGATTTGATTCTGCTTAATTTAAGACAAAGAAATTTTAAAATGTTACATTTGCTGTACATGCATGCGTGTGTGTGTGTGTGTGTATATATGAAGAATAAATGTATTAAAGTTTTATTAATTTAAGATGTTTTTTTTAATGGCTAATCCATGAATACATCAAAAATCATTTTGTAAATTTGCCTGAAATCACTGACCAGTTGGTCTGTTATGGGTTAATCTGACATTCAGTTTTAACTTTGGTCTTCAGGAGGCACAATATAGATTAATAACCGTCTTCTCTCTTTCAGAGCATGTATAATCTACACCACAATCATGGTCAAAGCCGTTTCCACTGAAAATAACTCCCAGCGATTCGATTAGAAAAATAAGTAAATGGCAATGCAACAACCAAATATGACAATATTTGATAACCGGCACAAGAACAAATGGTAAACTGTATATTGCAGATCTATTAAAAGTGCTCAAGGTGTTTTCTGTCCCAAATCTGTTTTACTGCATTAGGAGAGCCACATAAGAACTCAAACTGGCTCATTTGCTTTATGAAGATTACTGGTGTTTGATGAAACAAATGGTACATGACTTAAAGGCACAATATGTAATTTTCGCCAGTAGAGGGCGCGTATTCAAAATAAATGAAAGCGGTAGTTTGATGACGCTGTGACTGAGTGTGAAATCTTACATATTGTGCCTTTAAACAAACAGTCGCTCATTTATGCTTCTGAAATGAACTAAAATATTTCACTACATTTTGAAAACGTATTCATATTGAAGCCTGTCTCAGGGTGAAGGTCTGATTTCTTCTTGTCTCTTCTGAATCCGCTGCTGTAATAGATTCCAGGCTTTCAACACCTGGGGAAACACACATGCATTAATGATGAGCTGCATGTTTTGAGGTTAATAAAGCCCATCATCCATCGAGTCGTTCCTGATCTGGTGTGTGTGTGTGTACCTGTCTCTGAGTAACGTCAGGTTCCCACAGTGTGCACAGCACTACGTTAGCATGTTCTATTAGCTGTGCATTCGGCCACTGGCTCTTCAGTCTCCTCAAGGCGTCTTCCTCCTCCACACCGTCTCGCTGGACTATACGCTTCACTGCCTGAAACCGAGAGAGAGTTAACACATCTAGAATGTCCTAATATTGTTATATATATAGTGAGATGCAAAAATCTGTGATTACTAGTAAAGTTTTGAATTTAAAACTCTTTTCTTCACAAATTCAAAGAGTGAAAAATCTTCTTGAGCTTCAATGGAAGAAAATCTGACAAAAAGTCACATAATCAATGCCACTAACTACCGTTCAAAAGTTTGGCTTTTTTAAAAGTTATATTTATGGGCTTTTTAATGTGATAGGACAGGAAAGCATTGGGTGGAGAGGGGAACGGTATCATCAAAGTGATGGCTTTAAAAAAACAAAACAATTATTCATATTTTTATTCAGCAAGGACACATTAAATTAATCAAAACTGACGGTAAATACATTTATAATGTTACAAAAAAATTATATTTCAAATAAATGCTGCTCTTTTCAACTTTCTATCAAATAATCCTGAAAAAAAAAAGAGTATCTCCATTTTCACAAAAAAATCAACGTTTTCAACATTGATAATAATCAGAAATGTTTCTTGAGCATCAAATCAGCATATTAAAATGATTTGTGAAGGATCATGTGACACTGAAGACTGGAGTAATGATGCTGAAAATTCAGCTTTGATCCCAGAAATAAATTACATTTTACAATATATTTAAACAGAAAACGGCTATTTTAAATTGCAATAGTATTTCACAATTTTACTGCCTTTACTGTATTTTTGATCACTTAATTCCAGCCTTGGTGAGCAGAAGAGACTTCTTTCAAACAAAAATCTGAAATATTTCTTATATATCAAGCTCTTTGTTTTGAATTTTTCAAAGTGCTGTTTTTTTCATGTTTAAATCCCAGAATATGGTCTCAGGCCTTTCGACCTCACAGTATTTAAAAACAAAACAAAAGCGTGTCTATATTAAAGCTTTAGCACCTCTTCCTCTGGGATGGTGGCCACCCAAACCTCATGCACCAAATATGTCCATCCCGCCTCGAGCAACACGGCCGCATCCACCACACAGACACGCTTACCTGAAAAGAAGAAGTGAGAATTAATCGCACTTAAAACAGAAAAAGTTCAGATAGAGCATGAGATGAAAGTGATAAATGCTTCACCCTGCTCCTTTGCTTGTTTTATTCTTTTCTTCACCAGCAGAGCAATCTCAGGCCACACAATATCTGTCAGAGCTCTCAGACGCTCCTGAAAAACAAACACACACATAAACACAATGTGAACAGGAGGGAAAATGTGTTCTGAATTCAATTATATTTATCTGTCGAGTTAAATTACCTGGTTACCAAATACTTTTCCACTCAGTACTCGTCTGTTGATGGTCTTATCCTCGTTAAGAATATCTGACGGCAAAAAAAAAACTTTGAACTGACATTTTTCAAATTTTCTGTAGGGAAAAACTGCAGGCCAGTATAAAGTGAGATCCATTCGGTGACTATACACATCTCCTCTCCGTACCTGGGCCGAACTCCTGGACGACCTTATGATAGGCGGATGTTCCCGGCAGGTAGGCCTCGTGACCGAGCTGATCGCAGTCAATCCTCACGGCGCCGAGAGCCTCCAGTCTGTGTGCTATAGAGCTCTTTCCAGACCCGCTGCCGCCCGTCAGACCAATCACATACGGATCCAGAGGCAGATCTGGCTGCGGCTGCAAACACAAGAACAGCAAATTAAACCAATACTAAGAGCTTTACCTTTATGTGGATGAAATGTAAGTAATAAACAATAACTTGAATCTTTTATAAAACTACATCAAGATAAAATGTGAACGCTAAGTGAAATGCTACAATATATAACAACACTTATGACCATAATTATCATTTTAAAGTTTGGGGTCAGTAAGATTTCCACAAATATATGAAGCAGCACAACTGTTTTCAACATCGATAATAATCAGAAATGTTTCTTGAGCAGCAAATTAGAATGATTTCTGAAGGATCATGTGACACTGGAGTAATGATGCTGAAAGGGGAAGTCGTGGCCTAATGGTTAGAGAGTCGGACTTGTAACCCAAAGGTTGTGGGTTTGATTCTCGTACCGGCAGGGATTGTAGGTGGGAGGAGTGAATGTACAGCGCTCTCTTCCACCTTCAATACCACAACTGAGGTGCCCTTGAGCAAGGCACCGAACCCCCAACTGCTCCCCGGGCGCCGCAGCATAAATGGCTGCCCACTGCTCCGGGTGTGTGTTCACGGTGTGTGTGTGTGTGTTCACTGCTGTGTGTGTGCACTTTGGGTGGGATAAATACAGAGCACTAAATCCAAGTATGGAATCACCATACTTGGCCACATGTCAAAATTAAGCTTTGATCACTGAAATAAATTATATTTTACCAAATAATAAAATTGAAAACAGTTATTTTAAATAGTAACAATATTTCACAATATTACTGTTTTTATTTTAATTTTGATCAAATAAATGCAGTCTTGGTGAGCAGAAGAGGCTTCTTTCAAAACATCAAACTTTTGAATGGCACTTTATATTAATAAATACATCATCTCAAAAAGAACAGAATACAAAATAGAGAGCTGAGCTAAATCATGCATCACATGACCAACATGCACATGACTGAATGGTCTTCATTAAATTACACAGCAGTCACAATGCCATGATTCTTTAAATGAATGTCTGAACACCCAGTGATACGGAAAAGACAATAAGTTCTGTCACTCTTTTTGCTTAACAATAGGTTTTTGTGCATAATCCTGCAAAATTGCCTGAGACGTCTTCTATGTAACAATCCATCCTGAATAAGAACACACTATTAACCAAGTCCTCATGGAAAAGTCTTCTTTCCAATAACACATAGTTAAATACGCCAGTCATGTTTAAAAAGACAAATATAAATAAAACCGTTATGGACAAATGCATGATGTATGGATGAATAGATGAAATGCATTATGTGATTGTGGAATTGTAAGTACTATAAATTAAGATAAATGAATGCGGGATGTTCGTACAGATGGATGTTTGAGCAACGTGCCCAGCATTCTTGTTCTCAGGCTGGAGGAACTGATCTTCTCCTCCTCGATGTCCGCATGATGGGCGTCTTTCAACAGCTGGATCTCGTACAGAACCAGTTCAGCCAATCCCTGCACAGAACAGACCACTTAATCTCACACTATGAACAAATAAATGACCACAAATGGTGAAACATAGAGAACAGCAAAGTCCAAACGCACTGGGGTCACCATGGTCACACTGAATTCACACGGATAATTAAATTCAAAGTTTAGTTCACACATGTCTAGTTTATGACTTACTGAGGATTAAACATTTGAGGGGTGACAATAAATCCACATTAAACTTCACGAGAAAGACAAGCATTATAATGAATAAACTAAAATTATATAATTAATACTATAAAAAAATTTAAAGTTTTTGAAAGAAGTCTCTTTTTGCTCACTAAGGCTGCATTTATTTGATCAAAAATACAGCAAAAGCTGTAATATTATGAAATATTATTACAATTTAAAATAGCAGTTTTCTGTTTGAATATATTGTAAAATGTAATTTATTCCTGTGATGCAAAGTTGTATTTTCAGCATCATTGCTCCAGTCTTCAGTGTCACATGATCCTTCAGAAATCATTCTAATATGCTGATTTGCTGCTCAAGAAACATTTATGTTGATACCAGTTCATAGTTTTGTGAAACCGTGATAATTTTTTTTCAGGATTCTTTGATGAATAGAAAGTTCAAAAGAATAGCATTTACTTGAAATAGAAATCTTTTTAGTAAATATCTTTACTGTAGGGCTGCACGATAAATCGAGATCGCGATTCGACCGAAGCTGCGATTGTCATGCGTATCTTTCAGTGAAGCACGGTTCTGTGATCAGTAGTAAATCTCCATCCAAAGGCCAGAGGGCGCTCTCTCGCGCTGAAACTCCAAATACGCCTCGCAGAAGAAACCCAGAAAATGCCCATCGCTGCAGTTGTCAGTGAACTACGGCTATGTGTAGTAAATTCTGCTCCATCTGAAAGCACGTGATGATGATTTACTGCTGATTACAAAACCGGCATTACTATCAAAATGCGCATGACAATCGCATTCGATTAATCGTGCAGCCCTACTTTACTGTCACTTTTGATCAATTTAATGCATCCTTGCTTAATAAAAGTATTAAGTTCTTTAAAAAAATCTAACTGACCCTAAACATTTGAATGATAGTATATATTTGTTTTACTAACAAAGATATTCAGATATTTTTAAGTGTCTGAATACATTTTGAGCTACTGTATGGTTGTGGTTCTCTGGTCTAACGATAAAGATTTTTACAGGCATCGGATAACAACCAATAACATTCTCACATTTTCCACACGCTTCCTGTTGACAGCTTCACCGCCTTTCCTCGTCTCCTCGCTGACCACAATGCACTGCAGCTCAGGGTCGCTTATGGATGGGCCGAAGGGGTCGGAGAGAGGAACGATTTCGTACTTGAGCGATGGTTTTACATCGTTCAGAAAGTCCTGGAGCTTCTGCACACGCTGATAATACGGCTGTATCAACTCCTTCAAGACCTTTTCTACACAAAAAGCAGAACACATTTAAGAAACTACTACAAAAAATTAGACCATTTTTTTGCGGTCCAAACGGTTTTGACACATTTCCAAGCGTTTATCAGTTAATAACAATGGTGGCAAAACCATGTAGATACACTTTTAAAGCTTTTTTTAGAGCTGCTTTGAACAGATTTAGCATGTCATCACTTGCTCACCAATGGATCCTCTGCAGTGAATGGGTGCCGTCAGAATGAGAGTCCAAACAGCTGATAAAAACA